TCTCTACGTCACTCCTCCTCAGTCCATATATGGTCACTTCCTGTTCAGTTCATGCAACTGGTTCAATGGTTCTCCGTTATGGTTCTCCGTTATGGTATTTTGTTGACATTGTTCTGCGTGCTTCCAGAGGGAACTCGGTGTAACGGCTTCCTCTGCTCCAACCACACCTGCCTCCCAGCCACCGCTCACTGCAACGGCATCCAGGAGTGTCCAGATGGCGCCGATGAGCTCAACTGTGGTGAGTGATTCTATTTGTTTCGAAGTATTTCCCACTTTCTAATTTAATTTAAACAACAAAACAGAATAAAATCAGGAAATCTACAGACACATATGGTCAAATTAAACATACATTTGTTGTAGAAAAACAATAGAAAAGGCTTATTAACAAAGTGTTTATGCAATAGTCACTGAGTCGGCATATTTGGGAAAAATAAGGAGGCCCAGAATAGAGCCCTGTTGAACCCCACAGGACATGTCTGTGTTGTTCTGTATGTTCTAAGCTAAACATATTACATCAGTCCATAACTCTCATGTTAAAACTATATATAGAATGTTTATCCGACACTAAAATGCTCGTGATGTCAGTATAATGTTGTCAAAAGTCATTTTGCACGTTGGCTTTGTGTCTTTGGCCCACAGACCCGCTGTGCACTCGCTACATGGAATTTGTGTGCAAGAACCGAGCCCAGTGTCTGTTTCAGTCGCTGGTCTGTGACGGAATCAAACACTGTGAAGACGGATCTGACGAGGACGCCGACTATGCCGGATGTGGTGAGTTTCTTTTCCTTTAATCTCCGCTTGTAACACTTTACAACTCTGAGAAAACTACAGAAAGAAGGCGGATCAGAAGTGCAACATGATGTGTTTGTGGGAAAAGGGCATCGGCATGTACATAGTGCATATTCTCCTATTTATTCAAGAGCAAGGCCATTTATGTGAGAGCTTTACTCATTGATTCACCTCATTTTGTAATGCTTTGGATCAAAACCCGGCCTAAACACTTCAACAGGCGCATGGATTTGCTCTGCTTCTTCTCAAACTCAGTGTTTCCTCCAAAATTCCCAAATGTATGCTTCATTTTTTTGTGCCGTTCATACTGGACTTAGAATATTGTGCCCACAACCTCAAACACATTTTCACTATTTTTGTACAAAAAGCTCAAATTTTTAAAGAAACATTGTAAATTTTGTTATTCTGCTTCATACATATTAATTTTATTTTCTGTGTGTGTGTGTGTGTGTGTGTGTTTTTTGTCAGCCACGCCGTCTGAGTTCGGTAAAGTGTGTGACGCCTACACCTTCCAGTGCGCTAACGGAGTGTGTGTGAGCCTGGAGTGGAAGTGTGACGGCATGGACGACTGTGGGGATTATTCTGATGAAGCCAACTGTGGTGAGCAGGAAGCGTTCTTCAGAGAAGCACAGGAACACACACACACAC